ACATCAGAATTTCGGTTGATTATTCGATTTTTGAAAACGGTTCCCAAAAGTTCAATTTTTGTATTGGCTGAGTGGCAAGTAGCGCCGGCTTGTTGAAACCAAACGTTGTCCATATTATCTTCATACGGTGACCCATTAATTGACTCTGGAGGAGGAATGTTAAGTTCTCTAGAAATCAACTTCTTATAAAATTGAGTGTTTCTTATTGCCCCCCCTCCCATCCGTAACTCTACCATTAGTACCAATCTCACACCAAATAAACATCATAATTGGCATATACACATGCCATCAACACCAGACTGCGAAAATGCTTATAATTCTAGAAAAAAGATCCATTTCTGTGATCTAATGTCGCCTGAGAATAGGCGACATCAGCATCCTGCGCATCCAGTAGTAATGCACCACAAACTACGCAAAAAAAATTCAAAAGACAAACTGTCTAAAGCCGACCAAGTTTTAGACAAAATTGCAAAACAGAAAATGTCGTAATACCTAAAGAACGGTATACGTCGTGTGGAGATCATGTGGCGGAAAAACTTCGATATATGCCTCCTGAGATGGTCTCTATTTCTCAAAAATTAATTAGTGATATAATTTTTCATGATGAAAACAGGCAACTTAATATGACCTCCCGAATAGTGATCGATTTTAGTGTGAGTCATCCTATCTTCGATAGTCATTGTGAATTTTCCAGAAGCTCTTGTAGGTACTACTTCAAACACTATTATGGAATTATTTTGAATTTATAATGTTTCATGAGTTATTTATTAATAAATAATAATATTATCTATGTGTTATTTTTAATTACCTATACATACTCCTTGTAATTTATTGTTCTTAAAAAAAGGAATTTAAATGGCATGGATTAAATATTAATTACAATTAATAGTTACTATGTGGATGTTATACAGGGTGAATAAAAAGTCTGAAATATCTTCAAAACTAGTTTCTTTTTGAAACAATCCTTTCAGGTGTCAAAGACTATAATAAATTTGTCGCCTTTTCCTATGTCTAATTTTTTTTACAGTGGCGTACATTTTCGGTTTCAAAGGGGGCAACATTTTTTTAAATGGCTAACCCAATTTTTTATGCGATAATGTGAAAGAATACATTTTTTTGAGTATCCTAGAGCAAATTTTGCATTAGGTTAGATAAGAAAAAATTTGCGAAAAAAATTTTTGTTTATTAATAAATATTTGATTTGGAAAAATTTCTAGTATGCGTTGCAATTCCCATTTTTCATTCCATAGCATGTAAGGCCACTTGATTTTAAGAGTAAGCTTTGTATTACGTTGCTAAGTAATAATTGTATGAAAAGAAATACATTTAAAGCAGAAAAATTGATTTTATTTACATGCAAAAGAAATCAGAAAATGTCAATGAATAAGATGCTCAAACTGTTCTCCATTTACTATTTGACAGTGTCCTAACCTAAAAATAAACTCATCTTGCACTCTATCAATTATGTCCGGTTTTTGCCATTTTTGTGGAAAAATATTAGCCAAATACGTTTGAACGGGAAGGGCATAATAAGGTGGTGCGCCGTTCTGCTGAAACCATAGTTCTCCTGTAAATATTGCAAATATCTAGCGGCTGTCAGATTTTCATGAAAAAAAATGGTCCCAATATTCCGTTTCTCACTATACCAGCCCAAACATTAACTTTTCTTGGAAGTGTGTGACTGTGTATGAGTCTGCTGCATCCACCTTTGATTCTCTAAGGACCAATATCTGCAATTTTGTCGGTTTACGGTTTCACTTAAAGAAAAGGTAGCTTCGTCCGAAAAAACAATATTTTTCGCAAAGATTGAGTCATTATGATACAGAATTTGCATTTGTTCGCAAAATTGCAGTCGATAGTCAATATCATCTTCTACTTGTGTCACTAATTAGTGAAATTTTATAAAGATGGAATAGACAACCTAAGCCTTGACGTCATAGAGATGGGCGGAGCTTATACTGACTCAAACATTTTCGTTACTAACTGTGTTGCTAACGGTAAATCACCATATGCAATTTTTCATTAGTGTTAAAATAAAATAAACTAAGTGATGACATTTCAAATGACATTGTTTGGCGATTTATCTTAGCAACTGTGGTTAGCAACGAAATTGTTTGGAGTCAGTATAAGCTCCTCCCACCTCTGTGACGTCAGACTTAGGCAATCTATTTTTTAAGTCAGTATAAGCTCCGCCCATCGCTGTGACGTCAGACTTAGGCAGTCTATTTATGTCGATGTAATACATTGAGAACAATACTTTGACTCAAATTCATTTCTAAACCTACGTCACGATCCGTATGAGGATTATCAGCAAGTAAATCGATGAAGATGAGAATCATCGATTGTGGGACGACCAGATCTTGGCAAGTCACGCACATGCCCATGATCTTTGTATTTAGCAAGAATTTTTCTCATCCTAGATCGCGACATTGCTGGGCGATCGTCATGTAGTTCATTAAAAAGTAAAATGATCAAAATTACCAAACAACTATTTATTTGTTTGTAAAAATATCATTCAACGTAACGATAGCTAGGAACAAAGCAAAGCCACTTGGATTATTTCGGTAAGTTCATGCCATCGCGATAGTTTGAAAGCATTTCCAATTATTTTCAGCGCCTCCTAGAAATTTTTACAAATATAACGTTTATTAATAAAAAAAAATTTTTTCGCAAAATTTTTCTTATGCAACCTAATTTAAAATTTGCTCTAAGATACTCAAAAAAGTGTGTTCTTTCAGATTATCGCATAAAAAGTTGGAGTTGCCATTTAAAAAAATGTTGCCCTCTTTGAAACCGAAAATGTACGCCACTGTAAAAAAAATTTAGGCATAGGAAAAGACGACAAATTTATTATAGTCTTTGACAACCGCAAGGATTCTTTCAAAAAGAAACTAGTTTTGAAGATATTTCAGGTGTTCCAGACTTTTTATTCACCCTGTATGTATTAATAAGATAACAAAAGCACCAATGACAATGAACTTACCTTTAAATAGCCGCTTAAGGGGGATGAAATAGCTGTCACAAACTTGAGCTCTTCATTATTCATACTTGTGGCCGAAAATCGCAAAGTTGCGAAAAGCCTGTCGTGAGGGCTATTACCTAATACTTTCCCTCATATTGGTATTTTTTTTCTGAATTACCGGCATTAACAAACGAAGTAATTGGAAATAACACTTTTCATTCATCCTCAAATAATTTTTCCAGTCAGAAGGTTTCAAGGTTAATCCATTAAGCAAATTAAGATGAATGTGTCTTCTTCTATTTAGGAGCCATTGTTTCCCCATCTGTTTTTTACGTACAGACATACAGCCGTAGATAACACAAGAAAATTTTCATCCATATTGCTAAAATTAAAAAATGCCAGTATAGTACAAACTACTGCGGCAGAGTGATTAGAACGTTCGTGAATGATCCCTAAAATTACAGCTCACTTTTTGATCGCTTCATTGGAGTGATTTCGCGCCACGCCATTCCATTTGGAACGCCCATGAATAGCCAGCTTAACGACGGCTCTTTGCTCACTTTCGAAGAAAAATGGACCAATGATGCCACCGTGAATCCGTACCAAACAGTTACTAGTTTTGAGTGCATCGGCTTCTTAATGATGACGTTTGGATTTTCTGAGCCCCAAATGCGAAAATTTTGCTTATTCATGTCAATAAGCAAAATTGTCGCCTCCGATGCAGTGCTGCCAAGCGATCTTCAACCCATTATGTGAACCGAAAACTCATGAGGCTTCAGTTCTTGGACTAATTAAACTTTGTAAGCCTTCATACCGAGATTTTCATACAAAATTTTCGTCAGTGAAGTACGAGAAACGTTCAGTTCCTCAGAACGATGACGAGTTGATGTTGATGGGCCACAAGATTGTGCATTTTAGTTTATTTAGTCGCAAGCGACCTCGGCTACAACGAAATGCACGATGTCACTCAATCAAACAGAGCTTGCTTGCAACTAAGACGCTGCAGTTTAACATTAGTTTTGTGTTAATATGGTATTATCTATTAACTTACAAATGGTAGTATGTATTGTTAACAAAGATAAAACGAGTATACCTGATGCTATTAAAGATTAGTAATGACATTTTATGCTTCATACAGAAAAACCTTCAGATACAGATTTTTGTACTTTTTACTTATGCTTTTACACATTTTAGTAATGGTGAAACCTTTGATAAATATACAATATTTTCAATTACAATACTATATGTTGTAGTTCCTGCTACCATAACAGCAAAATTGATTCCAAAAATTTAGTATACAAAGTAGCATTAAATCAAACTAAAAAGAATTGTTGAAAAAACGTTTAAGTTTTGATTTTATTGGTGTTGTGTCAATATTCTTTACCACTTCTTCACCACGATATATCCGATAATTAAAAAACTCCCCAAGATCTATTTTCATAAGTACTTCCCAAATAGATATTTTTCAAAATACATTAAATTTATATATGACCTTTCCCTCCTAACCATGGCGTGCTTACTTAAAAAAAATTTTTTGAAAACATCTAAAATAGTCGAATTCGAACTTATTTCTGAAGAAAGTTGCAACATGGCATCCAAAACGTCAAACATTTTTTCAAAAGATGCACGGCTTAACCCGAAAGTTTCTAGTTCTAGTGTTAGTTCTAGTTACAAAGTCGTACTTATATTAAAAATAGTTGTAAGTACACATTTCTTAATACTCAATTTATTTTTCTTGTTGTTTTTTTAAGATAGGAAGTATTAATTACAATTATCTTAGCTGGTGTAATAGATAATTCCAAATCTAAAAAAACATGTAAGGAAAACTTAATCAAACCAAAAAAATTTTTTACGTCATACTTTTTATTTACAAGAACCCGAAAAATTATGAGGATTCCAACTAATTTGAATATCCCAACAACTCACAAGAAAAAGACCAAAACTTAATCAGACTTTGGACTTTCTAGATAATCTATACGTTTGGGTTTTTTTTGGCAAGTTTTTCTCTATCTAATAAAATTAACACTTTTGATGGGTTTTCATTTATAAAATCCACGATACGATATCCCTACTACTACCACTAGAAATCCTACAGTATCAACAACATCACTATTACTACAGCAATTCCTTTTCCTGCCACCTTGAGAACAGGTTGACGGCGCTCCATTGTATTAAGTAAAATACACGTTTAAGTGTTCCGTTTTTCCAATAGACTGCCAAGTGAAATAATTAATCGAACAAAACAACTCATCGCAATGAAAACTTCCCGTTTCTATTGTCAGTGTTTATTATTTTATTTCTTTTGCGGTTTTCTTGGAACAACCTTCGGTTTTATTCAAGAAATAACTATTAACGGTAATTATCTTCATGTTTTTATTCCATTTTAATATTTAAATTTGAATATTGTTTACATATATCAAGTTATAGTTTCGTTTCATTCAAAATTTAATAAATTACAATTAGATGATGAATCATTTTTTTTCGTTGTTTGGAAACATTTTTAATCGTTTTTGTTTTGAATTAGTAAACATGCAATGTTGGATTTTTATTAATTACAGGTTCACATCACAATAAAGTTGTAATTTGTCACGTTGAAATATGGAGTGTTTATCGTAGGGATGCTGGCGCATTTAGTATTGAAGAAATCGATCCAAGTTTATGTACTCATCTTGTATTTGGATATACTCATCTTAATGAAACAACGGATGAAATAATTATTTTTGGTAAATATTAAAAACTAATAATTAATTAAGTAACTCTTTTTAGTAATAATGTGATAATTAAGGTTTGAAAGAAAAAAGTTACATTTATTTTACATATAATTCTTCTTTTTAATTACATTGTTTTGAACAAGTCAGTATTGTTTCTTATTATTAATAAGAATTCTTCGCATTTATTAGCTATAACAACAATGAGTAATACTTTTTAATGTGTCAATTAAGATTTTTCAAAGCATTTCAAATGGTATTTATGATCGATTTTTTTCTCTGTAGAAGCATACGTCTTTGAGTGAAAACTGAAACATTCTCAAAATGTTAATAAAATGGCGTATTAAATCCAGTTCCTACAGCTACAAAATGTCAAACACCTTTATTACTTCAGCCTAAAAAACAATTCACCCGAAACTATTATTTTCAAACCCTTGTTCAATGGTGTTAATAACCCGTGTTAATTGATATACAGTAAAATGAGACTTGCGAAAAAAAAAGTGCATCCCAACTGCCGCATCTCGTATTTCGAACGCATTTTTCTTTATTCCTGTATTCTTCTTCCGATAAGGCTCAATCAGTCTTAGGGCCGGTTGTACCACCTCCCGATAAACTATCTAGCGGATAATTACCATGGTTACAGCGGTTTTAAGCGCTCTCATTGGCTAAGTGCGCCAATTTATCGGGAGTTGGTACAACCGGCCCATAGTCTACCTGTTCTCTTAAATCCAGGATGTATTTGGGCTACTTCCCCTCTTTTTAAAGAGCTCTTTCTGGTCATCGATTGTCGGGCATTCTCATCACATGGCTATACCATAACAACTATCGCGATACCCTCCACGCTCTTATTAGAAAGTTCATTTCCACCGTTACAAGCTTTTGTTGCCAGCATTCTGACCCTTATGCTAAAATTGTTTCTACTACTGATTAGTTTTATTGATCAGATTGACATTTTCAGACTTTTTCGACCTTGTTGCGTTTTGTTTTGGATATCTTTAGCAGATATTCCTTCTTCCGAAATTATGCTGCACAAATATCTACAGGGTGATTTATTAGCTCACCATCAAACTTCGACATATGATAGCTAATCCAATTACCAAAAAAAATGTTAATGAACACATGTCCTATTTAAATTATTTTTATATCATAATTAACTGCTACTTTTTTTTAAAACACATAAATATTACAAATATTGTTCAAAATAGCTTCCTTCTTCTAGAATACATGCTTCACAACGACGAATTAAAGAGTTCAGCCGAATTAAAATGTCTGGTTGATTTCTTATTTCAGTAGCAGCCATTTGTATTCTGTTTAATAACTGTTCTCGTGGGTTAATTTCCACTTGACACACAATTTGTTTCATTTGAACCCATAAGTAGAAATCCAATGGAGAACATCGGGGATCTAGGTGGCCATGCAAATGGACCATTATTACCAATCCACCTGTTTGGAAAATATTGGTTTAACCACTCGACAACTACTCTTCCGCGATAAGGTTGGGCACCATCGTGCTAGTACCACATATTTTGAGTTACATTAAGAGGTATATCTTTAAGTAAATCATAAAGTGTATTGTTAAAAAAAAATCTGTAATTTACATCAAGTACATGCAAACCTAGTAAATTGTTGTTAAATATTCCACCCCAAGCGTTGATGCTGAAACGTTGTTGAAATTTTCTTGGTCTAATCGCATGCGGATTTTGTAATGCCCAGATATGTTCATAATCATAATTATTTATATCATCTCGTCTAAAACATGATTCATCTAACAAGAGAACATTTGAAATGATGTCATTATTTTGGGCATGTTGCTGCAATAACCATTCACAAAATGCTAACCGTTGCTGATTATCTCCTGGCTGTAGAGCTTGAACATTCTGTTTACGATACGAATGAAGGACTTCGCGGTTCAATACGCGGCATGCAAAATTTTAACTTACATGTATATTGTGTGCTATTCTTCGAGTGCTGATGGAAGGATTATCAATGACAGATTAATTACAGCTTCTTCGTCCTCTACATTAACTACTTGCGGTCGAACAGCTTTTGCTGGAGCAGGATTACCTTGTTCTCGAAGTCTTCTGAAAGAATTGCTAAAAACTGAATAATATGGCAAATGACGCTGTGAAAATCTTTCTTGATATTCTCGTACTGATTGTCGAGCATTTCCCATGTCAAAATCATACACGAAAATTATATCAGCATAATCTTCAGTGCTATAAGCGTACAGTTTGAGTTTCTTCTTGGATGTAATAATTGTATCTTACAGCAAACTGACATATTACAATATATGTCAACAAAATAAATTCGCTGCAGAAAACTTTAAAGTGTTATAATTTCGTAAACAGTTGAAATAGGACATTTTTTTTTAATTGAATTAGCTATCATATGTCAAACTTTGATGGTGAGCTAATAAATCACCCTGTATATTCCTTGTATATTCCTATTTTCTTATGTATGTATTTGTAGTTCAGCATTATGTTATTTTCTATTACCATGTATTCTGATCCATATTGATATTCAGTCCCCACTTTCGATATTCTTCCATAAGTTTCCATAACTTAAAGTCATTATCATACTTACTACATTTGCTACAACAGCTTAGTCGTCAGCAAAGAAAAAGGTTGTCAAGATTTGATGTTCAATTTCTGTACTCATTTTTAAGACTTGTCTTCACCGTGTTTTCAGCGCTTCTTGGATGTATACTTTGAATAAGGTAGGAAAGAGGCAACACCCCTATTTAAGACCTTTCCTTGTCGAACAGAAGTCAGATATTGAGTTTTCTACCTTAATGACACTTCTAGGGTCCCTATAAATGTTCCAAATGGATTGAAAATATATGATACTAAGGCCAGTATTAGTCACGATCTTAACCAGCTGTTTCGTAGGCTTTTTCTAGATCTATGAAGTCTAATTTGTTGGCAAATCTCTTGCTTTACATTTTTCGATTATTTGTTGGAGGACGAAAATATTATCAGTACAAGATTTTCCTGCGCAAAAACCACTCTATTCTTCCACGTCCTCCCATTGCATTTTAATCTTATTCTATAAGACTTTTCCATACTACCTGCCCACTGCACTAGTTACACGTACGCCTTTTATTCTCTTTTTTGAAAATTGAGCTGATGTAAGCTAAGTTCTAATCTGATGGAATATTATCTCCTTCCAAAATGCTCCTGTTGAAGAGTGTTGCCAAAAATTTATGTAATATATGTATGAAGGCGCTCACGGCCGGTGTTAATTAAACTAAAACTAGAACTAACACCAGCTCTATCACTAGAACTAACACTAGTCCTAGAACTAGATACTTTCTGGTTAAGCTGTGCGTTTTTTGAAAAATATTTAACGTTTCGGATGTCACGTTGTAACTTTCTTCAGAAACAAATTCGAAGTGTCACTACGAACTGGTTAATGGGGAAGTTCTTCCACGTTAATTTTGGGTACTCCGTTGTTCGTTGTGTATTTAGCTAACGTTGATTAACGCTTTTCTTTAGTTTAACCATATTTTGAAGTTTTTCTGACCACCAATTGGGCAACTTCTCTGTAACTCAAGGTCTCCAGGGCATGAAGAAAACGACAAAGTTTTTTAAAAAATAATAAGAGTAACAAAAGTTTTAGAATTAAATTCCACATGAAAGGAAGTAGTAATGAATTAAATCCGCCAAAAGGTTAAAAAATCTGCCTCAATATATGCCTCAATAAAAATTTAAAAAAAAATAAAATATGCCTCAATTGAGTTCAATTTGCTACCAATTAATACCCTTGGTACACTCATAACGTATACCAAATTTGGTTTTTCTAGCTTAATGTATTACGAAGATTTTGAACTTTTTGAAAATTTAAGAGCCAACTTTGAAGGCCGATAACTCCTCAGGTGTACAACTTAGTATAGAGGTAAGTTACGTTAAATCATCTTAATTTATTGTCCTCTACATGTCCCTGCTCTGTGTCGGTTCTTATGTGAATCACCCTGTATTTGCTCGGCATTGTCCCTCTGTATACGAACTGTGTGAGATTTGTTTCTTAGACGCAGTTTGTACAGGATTTACATGGATTCTTGCCTTAAACTTTCCAAATTTAATGTACATCCTGTTAACTTATTACCCTTCGTTCTGATTTTAGTTTTTCCTGTTCAAGCTCTTTCTGTGGTTTACTACGACCTTAGCTGTTATCATGTGATGATCTGATCTACACTCTGGACCGCGATAAGCTCTTGTATCTGTTACTTGAAGTTTAAAACTTTGCCGCTGGATTACATAGTCTATTATATGTAGATTGGAATTCTCTGGTTGGTTGAGCCCATGTAAATTTAGTACTAAACATTTTTTTAGCTATATGGAGAGTCGTACCTCATTGAACCATTTCGCAAAACTACGACGATGGTTCTCTTTGATGCATCTTAAACAGTGTTCATTAGTAATTTGTTTATATAGTAATATATTTATCGATGCAATATTCTGCTAATATATTTTTTAATTCCATATAATTCAAAGTGAGGTGATTCACAAACACAGCGATCGTTGTAATTAATAAATTGTGCGGTCAAGATTTCCAGTAAACCTTTCCATTATTCTTTTCTTATAATTAACAAGAAATCGTATAGGAATTTTGAATAAAGTCAATCAAATTATTAAAGAACGTAATGTAAATGTCCCGATTACATTTATTAACATAAAAAACAGGCATATACATATGTATATGCTCACAAAAGCTCATTTATTTATATTTTATGTTTTTATTTTCAATTTAATGTTTTTTTTACAGAATCTTGGAGTAAATTGTTAGGAAGGAAATCGCACGAAAATATTTCAAAATTAAAAGCAAAGAAACCCGATCTAAAAGTATTAGTGTCTTTGGGTGGTTGGCTTGATGGTTCAATCAAATATTCTCGACTGGCTGCCAATCCAAAACGAGTTCAACGATTTGTTAATAATACCTTGGATTTCATAGAGTAAATAAAAAAATACTTTAATTAAAAATTTTTAATTATCTATTATTTTCTTCACTTTTAATATAATTCACAATTAATTTACAGAGAAAACAGTTTGGATGGTATGCATTTAGTTTGGCAATATCCAGGAAAACGTGGGGGATTAACTACAGATAAAGAAAATTATATCCAATTACTGAAAGTAATAAGATCCAAATTTATGTCTTTTCTTAATTTATTGATAATATTTTTTTTATTACAGGAACTTAAATTTGCATTCAAAGAATTCAACTATACTTTAACAGCTTGCGTTGGAAGCAGCAAAGATACAATTGATTATGGGTACGATATTCCAAAATTATCTGAAATTCTAGATTATCTGTTAGTCTACAATTATGATTATCACGGATGGTGGAGTCGAATGACCGGTGCTAATTCTGGGTTAACTGGACCGGATTTTCTTAATACGGTAAGTTTTCAGCGTTTCATTTATTTTACAGCTACAGAGATCTTATATATCGCGCAAAAATAATATTTTTGTTATTTATTTCGTGTCCTTGCCTCTATTATTGTTGATATTAGATAAAAATTGTAAAAAAAGTTGTAGAAAATTATATCCTTAATTTCGTTCTGATTTTAACTTAAGCCCTCCAAAAGTTTAGGACAAATCTAGGTCCTATGAACCTTAGTATTACTCCAAAGTCTTGTTCCTTTATATCAGTGTCAGGTGAATCTTACCGAAATTGTTGTGTCTCTGGCAACGCATTCACACAGTATATGTTCAGCAGTCTCTGACTCATCGTTGCAAAGTCGACAAATTTAATCCTCAGCTTTACTAATGTGGAAGAGTTGGTAATTTATGGGCGTATGGCCGGTGAGGAAACCTGAGAGTGACCTTAGGTTCTCTTCGTCTGTCTGTGAATTGGAAGTACTTTCCAGCGCAAGGCTACTTTTGAGGCCTCCCATGTATTAATTACCTGTTTTAAGTGGCTTTTTTGTAATCAACATCTGGGTTGGGGTCAAATAAAGAAGGTCCTCGCTTCCTCTTTCGCCAGCTTGTCCGTCTTTTTATTATTTTCCATATGTTTGTCACTTGGAACCCACCATAGGGTAATTTTTCATTAGCCCTGGCGAGTTTTCTCAGGTTTCCGATACATTCTTTGACCAGTGCTGATGTGTGTACAGTTGTTACATTCTATACAATTTTCTGTGGCAGCATCTGCATTTTGCCAATACTACCACTCCTTAAACTCTACATTACATTTCCGCTCTTCTTTGCAACATTTAGCATTCTGACATTCTACTCTTTAGCAAGCTTTGCATTCTGCCTCTATTCTTAAATTTCTGAATTTTAGAATTTTTCTGAAACTTCCTCCTATTAATTATCTGTTGGCATGATTTGGATGTTGCCATCAATTTTATTGAGTCTGTTCAGATTGTGAATTCTGTAGTTTACAGTTTGTTTCTATTTCTCCTTAGTAGTTTCTAGCATTCTACACATTTCTGTATAGCACCTCTTGGGTTTTGCCAAGATCTCCGTCATTCCGCTATGTGCGTTCGTTTTAAGTAGACGTATTTCTGTCCCGAACCAGTTCTCTAACTTGTTTATATTTGGATCATGTCGTTCCCTGAAACTAAATTTCGTAATAAAAATATTTCAGTGTCGGATGAAGATGCATTTGTAGATAAAATACTATCAAGATTAATGTCGTCAAATGAAATATTAGATAAATTTGCAAATAAGTTGGGTGATTTATTAATAACAAAAATCCAAAAGGAATTCGAGGTAACAAAAAAAGAAGTTGTTCGTCTTCAAGGTCAACTGGAAGAGGCGAATCGTAAAATTGCCGATTTAGAGCAATACACACGGAGAGAAAATTTAAAAATTTTTGGTGTTAAGGAAACTAAGGATGAATCCACTGATGATATTGTGATAAAAATATGCCGTGAAAAATTAGGAGTTATGATTCAGGCTAGTGAAATTAGCTTTTCACATAAATTGAAAGCAAAAGAAGATAGGGTGAGGCCCATTATAGTGCGATTCACGAATCGCAATATCAAGAAAATAATTTACGCCAAGAAGAGTAAATTAAAAGGCACTAACATTGTAATCAAGGAGGATATGACGTTACGTAGAATGCTGTTGTTGAAGGAAACAATTAAAAGAGTGGGTTCTCGTTCGGCTAGAATGTTTATACCAAAAAGGATAATAAAATTGTGGAAATTAAGTGCCTGGAAGATATTTATCAGCTGGTGGAAAGAAGGAAAGAAAGCTAAAGGAAAGGAAAGGAAGGATATTAAGTAGTTAAGTTGTTCTTTTGCTAGTTTTTCTTTTTTGAATATGGGTTTTAATTAGGTTGGGATCTCGGAGTCATGTTATTGGTTGTTTGTATATACCACCGTCTCTGAATAATGTAATCTATGTTGAAAAGCTGGAAATACAATTAACTGAATTTAAGTTACAATATGATAATGTTTTGTGCCTTGGTGGTCTAAATATTAATTTGTTGGAAACTAGCAATAATGATACAATTAGTTTGCTTACTTTATTTGATTCTTTACGAATGACTCAAGTAATTGCTGAGCCGACTCGTGTCACTGAGTCTTCCGCGACGTTATTGGATATTGTAGTTTTATCTGATGTTTCAGTTGTTGCTGGAAGTGGCGTGTTGTGCTCGGAGATTTCTGATCATGATCTTGTTTTTTGTAAGTGCAGTTTTTCTAACTTTTGTCGTAAACCCATTTACTATTCCTTTAGAGATTTCTCTAATTTTGAATATCGTCAGTTTGCTAGTCATAGCAAGTCATTGCTAAAGTTGAATTTTTCAACGATGCGCTTTTGCAGTTGTTCAATGTGTTTGCGCCAATCAAAACCGTTAAAATTACCAAACCAAGAACACCTTGGCTTACTGGCAATGTCAAACTTTTGCAGAGGCTTAGGGATAGAGCTAAATTAAACTATAGAAGTTCTAAAACGCACTGGAAGTACTATAAAGAGTTGCGTAATTTTACAACATTAGCGATGCGTAATGAAAAGAAGGCGTACTTTGAGCAGTTGAGCCGAAATTCTGGTTCTAGTGCTCTATGGAAAACGCTTAAAAGACTCAATGTTGTTCCCAATAAGATCATGGGGGTTCCTGCTCATCTAGCAGACGCTGATTTAATAAATCAGGCCTTTGTGAATGATGTTCCTCAGCCTACTTATGATCCCTCAGACATGATAGATTTCTATCAGAATTCTACTAATAACCTGAATCCTTCCTTTCGATTAACTGGTGTGGATGAGGATACGATCAAGCGATTATTAACGGAAATTATGAGTAAGTCTTCTGGCGCGGACGCTATCAGTATAAATATGTTAAAGTTGGTTGTTCCACATTACACATATTGTACATGAGTGCATTCGAGCAAACTACTTTCCTAATGCTTGGAAATCGGCGCCCAAAATAAATTCGCCAATTGAGTACAAAGGTTTGCGTCCTATCAGTATATTGCCGACCATCAGCAAGGTGTTAGAGAAAATCGTTAATTTTCAGCTAAGGCAGTACTTTAATGTAAATAACATTCTTCCTGATTGTCAATCTGAGTTTGTGTCAGGCCGCAGCTGCTCTACTGCTTTGTTGAAGATAACTGATGATATAATCTGTGGTAAAGATATCAATAAATGTACTGCACTTGTACTTCTTGATTTTAGTAAAGCTTTTGATCTCACTGACATCACGGTATTTTATTATCTATTTTACACTATAATAATAATAAACTTTATATTGGCTGTGATGTTTCGTTTGTGAAATTTATATGTTCATACTTAGAAAATCGTCTACAGTTAGTTAAATTACCGAATTGTATATCTACATTTTTGCTGCTGGAGAGGGGTGTGCCGTAGGGCCCTATATTGGGGCCGTTATTATTTTGTATTTATACCGCGTTCTTACCGAAATCTATAAATTTCTGTATAATATTCATATGTATGCGGGTGATACGCAGTTATACTTAAGTTTTGAATTGGAAGAGTTAGATGACATTTGGTTAAGATCAATAATTATCTCGAAAGTTTATTTTGTTATGCTCGAATGCATTCCTTGAAATTGAATCCTGATAAAAGCTTGGTGATACTTTTTGGAAACGACAAAAAAATCGAGCAATTCGATTTTGGGACTTCTTATCGATAACAGTTTTAGGTATCGCGTTCATATTACAAAAAAAATTGGAGCTGCTTTTTGTAATCTGAAGTTGCTTTTCCCTTATGCCTCCATTTTCAGTGTGAAGCTTAAAACTGTGCTGTGTGAAAGTATGGTGTTGTCTTTGTTCAATTACTGCTCGCCTGTCTATGGTCCTTGCTTTAATTCGGTGTGTGTGCGCAGGGTTCAGGGATTTCAGAACGGTTGTATGAGGTATATATTTGACATTCGAAAATTTGATAGAATCTTACATAAATTATTGGTTTTGAATTGGTTTAACACGAAAAATCGTTGTACGGAGAGGAGAACCGTGTTATCTTTTCAAGAAAGTTAGGTTTAGGGGTGATATTCACTCTCTTAACATTAGAAATAGAAACTTGATAGCTCCTCCAGCCCATAGGACAGCTTTGTTTGAGAGATCTTTTAGCTATAACATTTACTTTATATACAATAACCTGTCGGTAGTAATTAAAACTAAGGGTGCAGTGACGTTCAGACGTGCTGTTTTCCTCTTGCTCTTCAACAAGCAATAATTAAGCTACTTTATGGCATGGACTTCTCTTGCAATGAATCCTGTTTTTAATTGAATTGTTCTGATATTATGGAATTGATACGGAATTTTTCTTTTTCTTGCGGAATTAATTAGACTTAAGTAGGTTTTTAGTAATAGATTTTAGGCCATTATTTCTACTGTTACTTTCAGTTTCTGTTCATTTTCTTTTTAATTTTCTTAATTTTTCTTTTTTAAACTTTTTAATTTGCAAGGTTCAGTGTAAGAAGAGGGAAAGTCATTGGCACTCATCTGAACTGCACCTTGAGGTTCTCCAATAATTAAGTATTTAGTTATTTGATAGGTTGTATTATAATATAATAACATATATTAAACTAGTTTACTAGTTTACAAGAAAAATCTCGAAGATTGTGATATTTTTTTTATAACGTAGAATGTTGTGTTGATTCTGAAACTGTCTTCAGTTTTTCTTCATCACGTCCAGTTTTCGAGATATATCCAAAAATGTGGAAAATCGTAAATTAAAAAACATAGTAACGGTTCATGTTCAGTATATTTTTTATTTTACATAGTGTGCTTCTGTAGCTATATGGACAACATTTTGAGGTATTGATGGCATAAATCGGACCCTCCGTTATTTTGCTACAGCCTAAAATAACTCAACAAAATCAAACTTTTTGGCATTTTTCCCATTTTCTTATCACTTAATCGCACCACATCGAAAAAGAATTATATATGAACAAAAAAGTTAACTATTCTATCCTATAGAACATTTAATTCTTTAAATTTCGAAGCATTGGACACCATGGTTGAACGTATTTTACTGGAGATATCGTTAATTTACGACAATCGTGCACAATTTCATTTTTTGCCATTTTCACTGTATTGTTGAAACATTATTACGAACAATTTTTTTTAATAAAGAGGTATTTTAACTGTTCCAGGCACTACGTATAAACATTAAATTCACTCAAATCAATATTATTTTTCCTGTCTAAATGTTGAACATTAAGCATATCAAATAATTAAAATTTATTGGCAGTCGTTTGCATTTATGGCTTCGTAATTGTGCAATAAGTTGAATATTATTTCGCGATAATTCTCATCCTTATGATTTCCTAAAAATCCATGGACGGTTTGTTTGAAGCTAATCCACGCCGTTGCTTCTTATGTTGTTAATGTTGACATGACTTAATTTTCTTATTTGAGGGCCACCAAATATGCCTTCTTTTTGTTTAGCGTACGATAGTTGTGGAAAGAGCTGGAGGAGATATTTAAATGCTGAACCTTCTGGATTCAACGTTTTCACAAAGTTTTTCATTAAACGCAGTTTGATGTGTAGGGGAGGCAATATTACAGATGCTGGTCTTACCAGAGGCTTATTTAAGACGCACCAGTTGATAGCACATTGAAAGCATCAGTATCGTAATGTTCTCTAGAAGGCCTGTCTTTGTGCATATAATGATGCTCTCTGGCTCGGCTGCTTGTAAAGCTGCTTTAAGACTGTTTTTAGAGCTATCGATAAAAGAACACCACTCACTTGGCTTATGATGATTTTCAATTCATCAAACAGTCTCTGCACGTTATTACAATAACAAATACCTTGATCTTTCGTAAAAAATTGTACAAATACTTCGCCTCTGTTTCGATAAACAGTTACACGGGTTGTAGGGTGTAAATAATTCCATTGCTGTAAGCGGGATGCCAATACCTCACTATCAACCTTCGACAACTTCAGATCTCTAGCTAAGTCACTTAGTTCTTTCTGTGACAGTTTATGGTTTATTTTGGCATCATAGTCGCTGCTAGATGATATGAGATATCTTCGCTCTCTCCTTTGCTCTGATTACCTTCACTGGATTGCATTAATCGGGCAGGAGGATTTGGTCTTGGTAAAGTTTCGCTGTGAGGAATCGGCTTTTTAGCTGATCTTACATTAGGATAAACCAAACTTTTCTTTGTTTTTTTGTTTGTGCCGTCTAGGTTTATGTTACAGAAATAGCAATCGGAATGATCTGATATCTGTGACCATAACATTGGAATACCAAACTGTAAATGAGATGTAGATTCATCCGCCATCCATCTATTCAAAGTTATACCGCAATTCGGACATACGAAGCTGGGTGTCTAGGGCTTGTCTAAATTTGTCAAACCAAACCCAAAATAATGAGAATACGCCTGTTTTATAACAGTTGTAATTGGTCGTCCCTTCATCCCAATAATGTATTGTCCGCAAATAAAACAGAACAAATCAGGATTGTTCTTGCATTCAAAACTTCTGCTGCTGCTAGCCATTATCAACAAAACTTTTACAACACTTTGCTATTTTCTTAAACGAAAGATCACTGAGGTGTTTCAAGAAGAACTAGATATTATGACAATATATTCTCCTTTTATACCAAAAAATATTTCAAGAAAAGACTGTTTAGGAGAACAAGGTTCTAATATATAAAGAAGTGGGGTTATTAAAAAACACTTTTTCACAAAAAGTGATTGTTTTTTAACAATGAGAATTTAAAGAAGGTCTAACAGGTAAACGCGCGAGTTCTTAAAAACGTTTTCCAATAATGTTATTGTTTGTTATATTTAAAAAATAATAATATTTATTTCAGTGAATTTGATGTTTATACTTAGTGCCTGGAAGAGTTAAAACACCTCTTTATTAAAAAAAATTGTTCGTAATAATGTTTCAATAATACAGTGAAAATGGCAAAAATGAAATTTTGCGCGATTGTCGTAAATTAACGATATCTCCAGTAAAATACGTTCGACCGTGGTGTCCAATGCTTCGAAATTTAGAGAATTAAATGTTCTATAGGATAAAATAGTTAACTTTTTTGTTCATATATAATTCTTTTTCGATACGGTGCGATTAAGTGATAAGAAAATGGGAAAAATGCCAAAAAGTTTGATTTTGTTGAGTTGTTTTAGGCTGTAGCAAAATAACAGAGAGTCCGATTTATGCCATCAATACCTAAAAATGTTCGTCTGGATCTACTATACAAAATAAAAAATATACTGAACATGAACCGTTACTATGTTTTTTAATTTACGATTTTCCACATTTTTGGATATATCTCGAAAACTGGACGTGATGAAGAAAAACTGAAGACAGCTTCAGGATCAGCACAACATTCTACTTTATAAAAAAAATATCGCAGTCTTCGAGGAAAAGATTGATTAAAATTTGTAAATTAGTGTTATTTGTATTATTTTATTGGAGAATAAAGGCGATTATTATTATTATTATGCTTACCACATTTTGTATTGTTGTGTGCTCTGAATTCTGAATGTCTTGAATGAATGCTTCTAGAAATAGAAGGATACCTCTGGATTGGAAGACCTGTTATTGCTGGTCACATTGCAATCTATTAAATCAATATGTAATATTACCTGTTTTATGTCTTCCGTAGTAGCTATTTAATAATTATCTTAGTAACATTAATTGCTTTTGCTGCTTTTTCTCTTACAATATCATCATCTGTTATAAGATCTAGTTTCCTTGGTACGGTACGACATCATAGTCTTGCAGTTTTGGTTCTTGATCCATTACCATTACGGTATGACCCAAATAACGGAGAGCATGCTTTCTAATCTATTTTATTGCTCAAATACCAGTTATAGATTTTTTGGGGGTCCATCTAATATTCATTTCAAAAGGATTTGTTTGAATATTAATTGATTTGATTTCATTGATTTAGTTTCTTACTCGTTTGAAGGAGCAGAAAATTCATAGTCTTAATCCTGGTAGTTTTAGGACCTTAATATCCTATTTTATAAGTTATAAAAGTTATAAATTATAAATTATAATTGATAATGTATCATCTTAACAAACTTAAAATTAAGTACGGTCGCGAATTTTTATATCTTAAGGTAGTTTTAGAAAGTGATAATATAGAGCATACAAATTGTTAATAACATTTAATTCAATTTTTTAGGAATACAGCATAAATTATCTTTTAAAATTAGGCGCCAATCCCCACAAATTACTTTTGGGGATTCCACTTTTCGGAAGAAGTTATATTCTAAATGACACCAAATCATTCAACGAAAACCAACCAAAATTTGGACAACAATTCGTTGGCCACGGATTCGAAGGACCTTACACTAAAGAAGAAGGATTATTAACTTATCACGAAGTAATATAAATTAAAAAATAATCTCAAAAATCACATTATTAAAAAATCTTTAATTTCAGATATGTTTATTATTTAAAAATTCATCACAAAATTGGACGATTTTTTGGGACGACGAAAGTAATACTCCGATAGCTGTTGATGAAGACCGTATGATTTCGTTTGATAATGAACAAGCAATCATATTAAAGGTTCAATTCGCTTTGAATCACGGATTGGGTGGGTTTTCAGCATACGCAGTCGATAACGATGATTTTCGCGGAGATTGCGGCATAAAATATCCACTACTAGGAACAATTGAACGGGAACTATCCACTTATCGATACAAAATCGATAACGACATCGATAATAATTTATCTACCGGTGAAATTCGAAGTGGTTCTATCAATTACAAATCCAGTTTGTTAATGTTATTAAGTGTTTTATTTGCGGCTGAGAATTTCTCTTTTGTGATATTTTAAACAAAAAGTTATAAGTTGTAAGTACTTTTTTATAATTAAATTTATATTTTAGTTAATAAGTATTATCACAGATTTAAAATTTAATTTTATAAATAAAATCTATATATGAAAATAAATATAAATAAAGTAAAGATTGGATTAGATTTATTTAATTTAGAACGGCTAACAACGAATGATTTCATCGGTTTATCCAGTTGTTTTCGTGTTTCATCTTGTTTATGTGTTTTATGCGTTTCTAGACAATTACGAAACGTTCTGTTTAAATTCCTAAGCATAGGAAATGTTTTAAATTCTTCGTTATCTTGTGATTTATTAAAACAATCTCCGCGAAAATCATCTTGATCTATAGAAAAAACCATTACTCCACCTAATTTTTCTTGAAACGCATATTTTACTTTGTACTTAATCGATTCCGCGTTTTCGTACGTTATTAATTTATCGGTTGTTATTAAATAAGGGGTTTTGCTTTTTTTGTCCCAATGATTTTCCCATTTGTTTGGAATTAATTTTTCTAAACAAATCTAAAAATTATTATTGCAATTGATTATTTAATTGTTTCAAAATGAATTTAGTTACCTCATTATAAGCTATATCTCCGGATTCGTCTCTCATATACGGTCCGGTAAACGTTCGAATTCTCTCTTTATTTTTATCGAAGAAATCACCAATATTTGGCTTTGATGATTGATCTTCTGCAGCGAAAAAATTTCTTCCATAAAAGGGTATACCAATTATCATTTTTTCACGATCTGCACCTAATTTTATTAAAATTTGTGCTGTGTAATTCTAAAATGAAATAACCATATTAGAATTTAAATAATTTAATCTACCGGTTTCGATTGGTCAAAATTATTTTCAGAAATCTTGTAATTAGTTGTTTTTTAAAATCCGGTCGGATACCGGATGGTTACCAAATATCCGGCTTTGGTCGGATATTAAAAACCTATTACTTAGTACTCCACCATTCACAGGAATTAGTATCTCTTTTAGGTGTTGGACACTGCAGATAATAATCAAGTTCAACCCCAACAGGACTTTTTTTATTGAATACAACTTTATTTATATCAGGTTTGTCATTAGCAACCTCATTGTAATTGTAACAATCCCAATACGATATATAAAATCTCTTGTTGCAGTTTCATCTAGTTTTCTTCTCTTCGCTTGTAATTCATCATCACATTCATTACTAACAGGACTGTCACTGTTATCACTTTCGATTATTAATTAAAGTATCCCCTTTTTAATGCAACAAGCCGTTTTGAAAAATCGCTTTTCGTTTTTGAGAAATAAATTTTTGAAATGATCGACAATTTTTTCGAATTTTGCAATTTTCGCCGATTAAGATTTAAAAATTCGTATAAAATCCAGTTTTTGCAATATGGGTATGAAAAATTTCCAAAGTGTTAATAAAAGTGTCTTCTTTCCAATGAACCAACCTGTTTTGAAAAATAGCTTTTAGTTTTTGAGAAAACAATATTTGAAGTTTTGATAAAATTTTCGATGTTGCAATTTTCATCGATAACTTGCAAAATTCGCTATAAAATTCAATTCTTGAAGGATCCTTGGGGAAATATCACCAATTATTAATTAAGGTATCCTCTTTTTAATGCAATAAGCCGTTTTGAAAAATCTCTGTTAGTTCTTAAGAAATAAATTTTTGAAATGATCGATAATTTTTTCGAATTTTGCATTTTTCGCCGATTAAGATTTAAAAATTCGTATAAAATCCTTTTTCTTGGAATATGAGTATGAAAATTTCCCAAATTGTTAATAAGACTGTCCTCTTTTCAATTAACCAACACGTTTTGAAAAATAACTCATAGTTTTTGAGAAAACAATATTTGAAGTTTTGATAAAATTTTCGATGTTGCAATTTTCATCGATAATTTTCAAAATTCGCTATAAAATTCATTTCTTGAAGGATCATTGTGGAAATATCACCAATTATTAATAAAAGTATCCTCTTTTTAATGCAACAAGCCGTTTTGAAAAATTGCTTTTAGTTCTTGAGAAATAAATTTTTGAAATGATCGAAAATTTTTTCGAATTCTGCAATTTTCGCCTATTAAGTTTTAAAAATTCGTATAAAATACAGTTCTTGGAATATGAGTATGAAAATTTCCCAAAGTGTTAATTAAAGTGTCTTCTTTCCAATTAACCAACCCGTTTTGAAAAATAACTTTTAGTTTTTGAGAAAACAATATTTGAAGTTTTGATAAAATTTTCGATGTTGCAATTTACATCGATAATTTTCAAAATTCACTATAAAATTTATTTCTTAAAGGATCCTTGTGGAAATATCACCAATTATTAATTACAGTATCCTCTTTTTAGAGTTGCTTCGTTAGTTAAATCAGCATCAAAAAAGTTCATTTTGTATCTCGGATCCAAATAAGTTGACATATCTTATCAGCTTTCTTATTAATTTCATTTTTATTCAAATATCGCAATAATGTGGCAATATAGGGTATCACTTCAGAAATGCACCAGAAATTATAACCATAATGGCCGGATAGATATGCCGGATATCCGGCCGAAGGGAATGCCGTATATCCGGTATCCAGCTTTCCTCAAAATCACTATCCGTTCCATCACTACTTATAATTATAGAATTAACTCTAACGTACAATAATTTCTCTACACTAGCCTGGAACGAGAAAATTTTGAAAGTTAATGTTTAAAAAACATAACCACAAAGAATAATTAATATACCACTACCATGTATCGGTATACAACTTTGTATCATCATCATACTTGACTCTACAGCTTGTTATGAACCTTGGTCTGCCTTAACAGGGTCGTCTCCAACCCTTCTTAGGTGTTAAATTTTTTCCTTCTCCATCGTCCACAAATCGTCTCTTCAGCCTCCCAACCGATCTTCTACTCACACGTCTACGGCGATCAAAGATAATTCTTGTGGTACCTTTTATATTCATTCTGGCTACATGGCCAATCCACCTCAACCTTAGCACTTTGATAAATTTAACTATCTCTGGCTCGCAACAGAGAAAATACCACTCGATGTTGTAACGCCAGACACCTTGGTTTCTCTGCACTAAGGTTCATATTTCAGACCTATAGGTAAGTACTGCTCGTATTAATGTCTTGTACAGCACTAAGTAAGCCCATGGAAGTATTTGTTAGATTATCTTATTATTCTGCAGGGATCCCAAATATACGAAACTGATAACCGTCTGTATCTTGTAATCTCCAACTTCTAAAAGTTCTGGGATGTTCCCACCGCCAGCCTTGTAAAATTTATTTCTTCACCTAGTTTTCTGTTCTCCCCACAACATCTATATGGTTGGCGAACAGTATTAGAATTGATAGGAATTGCTTTGGCTTTGTCTTTGAGATAATGGACTGACGAACAATATGGAGGAAAAAGTCAAAAGAAGTGTGCTATATCAAACGATATTCCGTGACATAGAAAAAAAGAAGGCAAGAAGGTTGTGGCAATGAACATGCAGGAACACGTGTTATTTGCATACCATCTAATTTATTTCATATTCGGGGATAGCTCTCTCTAACATTCATTCCTGGAAAATGTCGGGATATAATTACAACCCTTTCTGTTAAGTTACGATTTATGTAAACCTGGAAGAGAGTGATTCTTCGATGCCTTATTACCAGCCCATACTCTCACTGGCTCTGACGTTATGCCTACACATTCCTAATACTGCCTTATATTTCGCATTAATCGCATCCCTTACATTTTTTCCGGAGGTCAAGATTATTGTTACCTAATCACAATCATAGACCCACATTTCGATTGAGATTCTGAGAACTTAATAATTTAGACAGTTAATTTACATAATTAGATAATTTTGTCACTCAACAATTAACAAGAAACACACAATATTATGAAAATAGATTATAAATTACATAACATCATTAGAAGATCAATCATAGAATATCATAAGAGTATCATCTAAATATTCTGATAATTATAAGACATTGTAGAGGATTAACGCAATAACATGAAATATAGATCGTGGATATATGTAAAGCCCACCATGCTTTTGTCCATGAAGAGAGTATCCAAATAGCAAATAAGTGCTAAATGCTGAGAAATTCCCAAAAAATTTAATTATTCAACCATTTCATAAGAAAGGTAACCGACTACTCTGCACGAATAACTGAGATCATGTTGCTAAATGTAGCATATAAGATATGATCATGTGTCTCAAACAATAGACTAGTCGAGTATACACAGGAAATTCTAGAGCAATACCAATTCGGATTTCGCCCTAACCGCACAAGTTCTGATCAAATATTCGAAAAAAACGCAAGTATGCCGATAACACAACAATTATCAGTAGAAGTTTAAGAGGACTGAGAGAAAACATAACCGTATTGGCTGGAGAAGTGCACTACAACGAACAACTAAGCAGACCTGTAAGTCGGTGGTTACACGTTTGAAAGAGACAACAGTTCGCATATATGGGTTCTCCGATAACACAGAGTGGCTCACGCAGTAACAAAATATGATCCCATCTCGTAAAGGGTGTTTAAAGGATTTTAAACAGGTGTTACTATGCTTCAGAGAAACTGTTCAAGTGTAAAATGTTGAATAAAGATATAAAACTAACTACATATATATAAAAGCCTTACTAGGCCAGTGGTGATATGTGTATGTATGCTAAGAACATACAGGGTGTGTATGTTCTTAGCCATTGTCCTAACAACTAGGATATAAATAAGATATAATAACCTACAGACATTATTTCCTCGTCCGTTCGAAACAGGTAGTCATATCATTTCAGCTGTTTCTCATCTATCTCCTTTACTAGACGACTTAAGCATGCTAGTTTTCCTACTTTTCATCTTTGCTGCTCCTATTTTTGGTTTTTGTCTGTCTAACAATGTCCAAGGTTCCTACCCGTAGGTCAGTGTAGATGTTATTTGTCTGATAATAGACTTCACTACCTTTCGTTGTTCTTTTGCGTATCTCTTAACCTATTTTGCCATCTTCACTAAACATGGTTTCCAGATATTCGTATTTTTCTACTAGCTGTAGACGTTGCCCTTCTATTCTTATACCTCTGTCTTCTCTTCCTTCATCCTTTGTGATTTGTAGAATTTTGTTTCTGTTTCTCTTTACTATCATTCTCTTCTCTTGACAAGTTTTTACTATTTGGATGTGTCTTTATACATTTAGTCTAATTATTCTTGTTAGATGCAAAAAGGCTAGGGATATATGCTTATTTCTGCATGGTTACTGTTTTCTATACTATGTCTCTGAGAGGTTATATATGACCTGTGTTTGTCTATTAGGAGAAAACGCCGTTTGCTCTTCTTCAAGTCTTTCCTTTATCTGGTCTGTGAATCGTTTTTTTAACGTTTTCGAGTAACGCTTAAGCACCACCGGCGCCAAACAGAATGTCCTATTATTCTTGTAGCTAGGTAGAGTATGTGATATCTTCGCCTACTAGTTTTCCATTTCCTTTAGGATTGCACAACTTCTCTTCCGCCATTTTCTTTTCTTCTTCTCGAGTCTCTACCCATTCTTCAAAACCTTTTTCCTTCCTTCCCTTTTTAAACCTTGCTGCATAGTAGTCCTTCCATATTTTCAGTATGTATTTGCATTGCTTTGATTGTTGGTTTTCCCTATAGTTTTCACTAACTTAAATCGTTATGTTAACATTGAAGAAAACTTGCCATTTCCAATCCACATCAGTAATCATTTTTATATCATTTAGTTCATTAAGAGATAAAATCTGGAAAGATGAAACTATTCGGAAACATTCAAATTTAACTAATATGTAAGAAAGAGTAGAAGGAATGTATTAACTTGGATATGAGATATTTTTGATATAATCCCTGAAAATAGTTTTGTAAAATCTGAAACCGTTAAAGACTTTCTATCACTTAAATAAAAAAAAGATGTATTTTTATTTATGAAGTTAACTTAAACTTAATAATAGAAAAAAACTATACAAACCACGTTATTTTGATCATTACTATAAAGTGGCGCATTTGGGGCGATTTTATCACTCCATAATCCATTGTAATCATAACTAATAATATCGACGAAATCGACGTTTTTAAAAATTTCCGGTACATTGTAACCCGAACTAATCGTCGTGTAAGCCCCACTTATAAGAACTGAGAATAATAAATTATTTTCTGAAAACACAATTTTAATTTCCTAAAAGAAAGAATCTATTTGTAAAATTTGAATTCATATAAAAATAAATTAATTTTATAAAATTATTATTATTATATATAAATTTTATTACTTGCTTTTAATAATTCGACAAAAGTTTTTCGATCACTTATATAACCACCTCTTTTTGTAGGATACAACCAACACAATTCTAACCCATCAAAATTGTGTTTTCTAAAAAATGAACCAATTTAAAAACTTGTCTCAAAGAAAAAATTTGTTATAAGAATTTACTTAACAAAATCGAGAGCAGTTTGGGCGAAAATTTTTTGATTTTCTTTGTGATCGGTAAATTTAATAAACGGTTGAACGCCGTTATACCAACCGCCTACAGCCACCATAAATATAACACCGGGAAATTTCTTTTTAACGCTTGTTATGTTGGTGTCTTTCATAAATTCAATCCAACTAGCTATAAAAAAATAATAAAAATTCGAACGATATAAAAAATAATATTAATTGTAGATTAATTCGTTGTAATCATTTTTTGGCTTGGAAAAAGGCCTACTGAAAATCAAAGCACGAATTTTATCAACCTGATAGATTTTCTCTTCCAAGTTCATAGAATTCTTTAGTTTGTACTTGATATTCTGATATCAGCTGTCTTTTTCAGGGTGTTTTTACTGTTTTACGTTTGTTTTTTACCCGCTGTTTTATGTAGATTTCTTTCAAAGAGAATAATGATAGAATCATCAAAGAAGAATAATAGTACATATTCCTTAATGCACAAACTGCCAACATCTAGGGTATATAAACTTCTGCAGTAGAGAAACAAGATGTGTTAAGTGTGCTGGAAAACACTGCACAAAAGAATGCAAAAAAGAACGCAATAGTGTAGCAACACGAGGAAGTTAAGCGTTCGAGTCAAGAAATGCTACAACAATACATCGTTTACAGCAGAAAGCTAACAATACTCAAATGTCTGCAAATCCAGCTACAATTGGAACAAAAACTACAAGACCATCCACATCTACTTATGCAGAAGTCGTAAAACCCATTCTTGTGAATCCGTTGGTTTAACCAACAAGTCCGAGAATTAGAAGTTTTTTTTTATCAACTAACCATATAGACATAGCGCTCATTTCAATTCATAATATACAACATTTCCAAGAAGAACAAATCAAAAAGCATGAACAGCAACCCACCATAGTTACTATCAAGAGCAATGGCGTTAAGAGAAATATCGATAGCCAAGGTTCATCATTGGAGAAGACTTCAATGTTAAACACACAGTATGGGACAGGGCTGGATTAACCTGTAGGCGCTTGAGGCGCGCGCCTCAGGGCCCTGCACCTACAGGGGCCCGGTTCTGGTTTGATATTGCATAGGCTTTCGTCCGATAAAAAACTAAAGAAAATTAAACATGTGAAGCTTTTTATCTCTTAAAATTGCTAAAAAAATGTTTCAAGTAACCCCGTTTGATTGTACTTGTTAATTGATTTATTGATTTATGAAGAAACAAATGAAAATAAAATACTATTTCACTGCGAGATTCTTATATGCGAGTTCAAACTCTGACTGGAAAAATCTTACGAGGACTTTAAGAAGTCATGAAGAATCTAAAGAGCATATTATAAAGTCAATGGTGACATTTGTTCATCGAACATCATTAGATATGAAATTAAAGAATCAAATTCAAAATGAAGAACTCTACTGGCGAAGTTTCGGACGAAAATATAGGTAGCCGTTTCAAAGGCAATTATTTGAGTTGCCTAGTTTACCTTGCCAACTTTGACGATTTTTTGGCAGAACATTTACGTCGATTTAGAAATCAGGGAAGAGGTTCTGTTAGTTATTTGTCTCATCACATATGTGATGAATTTATTGAAATAATTAGAGATAGAATGTTAAGTACATTCAGTGGTGAAATTAAGGCAGCCAAATACTTTGACATTATCGTCGATTCAACACCAGACGTAAGCCATTGTGATCAACTTAGTCTAATTTTAAGATACGTACATGAGGGACAAATAACAGAACCATTCGTAGGATTCATTAAACTGCAAATTCACACAGGGGTTGTTAACAAGAGACAGCTTTAAGTAAATTAGAACAATTAAGTCTCAGCATTCAAAACTGTCGCGGACAGAGCTATGACAATGCAGCCAACATGTCTGGAAAATATAATGGCTTACAGGCAAAAATAAGAATATTATCTCCTACCGTTATTTATGTACCCTGTACTAACCACTCAATAAATTTAGTGCTCAATTTTGCATGTGAGTCGTCTTTAGAATTTGCTAATTACTTTAATATGGTGCAAGGTATTTATAATTTTTTTCCATCGTCTACACATAGATGGCAAAAATTAGCACAAAAAGTTAACCCAACTCCCAAGCGTTTAAGTGATGTCCGCCTGCACGTCATGATTGTGTTTATGCTTTATATGTAAATTACAAAACTATTAGTGATATACTGTCAACATTTGTAAATGACGAATCTGAAAAACCCATAAGTAAGAGTGAAGCATAAATAAGAAGAGCTGAATTCTTAAAAACAGAACATTTTGAATTTGTCTTGTTGACAATTATATGGTCGAAAATTCTGGAGAGTAATATTAGATTTTTTTTGGGGCCCAAAAATATAGAGCGCCTCGGGCCCACAAAAGGTGTGATCCGGCCCTGGTATGGGATATTGATAATGCCTGGTAAACCCAGTGAATTGTTGAGTGCTATTAATATCGCAAACTGTAATTATTATTTAGGTGATGAGTCCACTTATTTGCCTAAAGACAACAATAAGGTGCCGAACCTGTTGAAGTTCTTCATCTCCAAGGATATTTCAACAAGATTAAACAAAACTGGAAGCCTACGTGAATTAACATTTGACCACACCCCAGTTTTATTAACACTAAATACGTCAGCTATCAATAATGCAACGAACAAAGTTTTACTAATTGTAAAACTAATTGGAACAAGTTCAGAGTAAAGCTAGAAACTCAATCTAGTTTAAACAAGACTAAAAAGATTAAAAAATAAATATGAAAGATGATTGAAGGAGCTCATGCTCAAAATCTTATAGAACAAATTCGAGCAGCTGCAAAGAAAGTTACTGCTGCAGCAAAAGAAAAGTTAGAAATTGGAGTTAATTAGGAATATAATAAAGGAAAGAAGAAATACAAGAATATGGCATATCCAACACAATCCAAGCAAACAAGAACGAATGATTCAGAATTTAATCAGAGATGTTTCGAAAAATATCTTAATGATTTAAGCCCGGAAGCAGGTTGAGACTATTCACTGTACAAAACAATTCAATACAAAACGCAGAATTTTTTACCCAACATTTATGTCAACCGAATAATGTATAATCTACAGTGGATGCAACACCTGTTTCTCAGTAAGAGATAACAATGAAGGTAATTTCACCTATGAAACTTGCGCTAGAAATCCATAACAACATTACTCTATAAAAGCTTCTCCTTTAACCCTAAACCGAATTGATGAAATTTCACCTGGCTTATTAAAAGACCTGCAAAGAAAGGCAATTAACAAATCGATCATGGCTGGAGTTACACAAGGCAGGAATTTAAAAAAATGACAGTTGTTATGGTAAAAGACTCAACTCAAATGAAAGTTATAGAAGAACTTCAAGTTAAGCAGAAAAGCAGTTAAGAAAATTAATAAATGGAAGAGGTATTAGAAAATACAGCTTAACAGGTTGAAATAGTCTCTTGGAGAATGAGTTCCATTCCTTGATTCCTTTTGCAGAATCAACAAAATATATCGGTCTTCACCTTGATGACGGATTGAACTGGATCATGTTAGTGCAGGTGTTAGTGCGTGGATGTGCTCAACTTGATCTGCAATCAAAGGAACTGGTTATCAGTCCATGATTGGACCGCGTTATACATCACTTGACTAAGCGACATTTTATCGTTTTTAGAGATTGTCATGCTGTCTGGTAGGTAAAGGTATAATTTATGTTAGAAAAAATGCAGAATACCGAAAGACCTTAAACACCATTTGTTTTAAAGGATTAAGCTAAGCGCCAATCACGTTATACGATTTCAAGTCCGATTTGCATCATACGTCTAAGAACCGACTTATTGTTACGACACTTAGATACACCAAGAAATTCTACAATAGAAAAAATAGATGAACCTACAATTCTACGATATTGAACTACTACATTCTAGTTCTAGGTCTAGTGTTAGTTCTAGTTTTACACTAGCACTGTTACTATGTCGAACTAACACTATACCTAGAACTAGAATCATTTGAGTTTAGCCGCATGTCTTTAAAGACGGCTAAACCCGAATGATTCTAGTTCTAGGTATAGTGTTAGTTCTAGTTTTACACTACGACTATCACTAGAACTAACGCAAGATCCAGAACTAGAATCATTTGGGTTTAGCCGCATGTCTTTAAAGACGGCTAAACCCGAATGATTCTAGTTCTAGGTATAGTGTTAGTTCTAGTTTTACACTAGCAGTGTCACTAGAGCTATCATTAGAC